AGGGACGTATGGGCTTTGGTATGTCCCAGTCTGGATACTCCCCCCCCCCCTCACTATGGAGAAAGGGCGTTGGTACGCCTCTTCTAATAGTGTGGGGAGGAGTATCCAGCCCCTCCCTGACAGTGTTTGTGACTAAGCGTTATGTTTGTTGTTTAAAGAAGGTATATTTATGTTGATGTTTAAACCAATAAAAACTAATAACTGGAATAAGAGTCTGGAGTGAATGGTGCAACGAGTCAGATAGAGTTCTTCGCTGATAACTGGGGAATACCCGGTGGCCAGGGGCATGTCCCAAAGAGCTTATCTGACTCAATCCAACCAATGAGAGGACAAGGTCAACCCAGTCTGGATACTCCTCTCCCTACTATGAGAAGAGGCGTATCAGGTAAGTACCAACGCCCTTTTTCTCCTAACCCGAATTCAGCCCTCAACATTATTTTAGGAATGTGCTGGTGATTGGAAAAAGTTGTCAATTCTGGTATAAGAGCATGTGACAGAAATTAATTCATTTATAAATACATATAGTAGATCACTGTGTGGAATGTGCCAGCTTATGAAGCTAAATAAGAAAGCTTGCATTTGTGGAAGTATTCATTTATCTGATAAGTTGAAACACTGAAAAGACAGAATGTAAAGTACATAATTGCAATATTTTTGTTTTTTCATAAGCTTATTATTATTGAGAAGACTAGTAAATCAAATTATATATTCACTGATAAGTGTTTTTTTGTAATATATTATGTGGACAGATGTTTTACAGGTAATCCCTGGGTTACGAACATTCCCTTAGCGAACATTTGAAGTTACGCGATAAGCCCCCCCCAGCATTTGCAAAGAAGTCCTGAAAATGCAAATATTGCAGCAGCATGGCAGTTGTTTGCCCTTACGAACAACTGCAGAGGCTCTGCAACATTCATCCGGAACGTTGCCAGCCAAAATGGAGCTTCTGATGGGCGGATCGTCTCCTCTGATCCTCTGTTCGGGCCTCCAGAGGCCTTGCTCCCATCCAACCTCCCTGATTGTGTCATTTATCTTGTGAAGATCTAGTAAGTAGTTTCCTCTCCAGCCTCTCAGCCGAGTGTGCCCTCTGCAGTTACGTTCAGGCCTCCTCAGGCCTCGCTAAACAGGTTCTGGCTGAAATGAAACTTTTGAGGGGTGAATCTGCTCTGTGACACTCCATTCGGCCATCTGCAGGCCTCCCCCGGCCCATTGCAGGCCAAAATGGATCTGGCCCCCAGAAGCTCTATTTAGACTGGCAACGAGGCAGAGGAGGCCCACAGAGGGCCAAATGGAGCCTCCTAAGGCTGGATCCACCCCCTGGAAGCTTCAGTTTGGCCTGCAACAGGCTGGGGGAAGCCTGTGGAGGGCAGAATGGTGCCTTGGAGAGCCAGATCCACACCCTGGAACCTCCATTTCAGCCTTCAACCTGCCAAGTTGGCAAGTTTTGGATGCCCAGATAGAAGTGCAGAGGAGTGCATGCAGGTCAAGAGGAGACTGCTTGTTAGATCTTCACAAGGTAAGTTATCCTGCGTGGCAGACTGGGGGTGGGGGAAAGCAACTGGGGAGCATGAGGCATTTCATGGGTTGGGGAGGATTTAGATGATCTTAGGCAGGTGGCCTGTTCTATCAGTATCCCCCCCCCCTTCCAATGGCCTTCCCCTCCCTGAAATTCCTCATGTGGACTTAATGAGCCTCACATTAAATTAGTGAATGCGTGGGCGAAAGGAGGGGTGATCTCCTTCAAGGTAGGAGATTCACTCCCATAAATCCTCAGTTTCCAAATGGAATAGGCAGGCTCCATTTCATTTGTAACTTGAGGACATTCTTTCTTTGATAACTAAGTGTTACATACTTTTGCAATTTTTAGCTAATTCTAAATATGCAGCAAAGACTGCAATCGTACAAAATACCTTTCTTTGGTAAAAATATGCTTTATTTTGGGACTTTATCTTTACCCAATTTTTCACTTAGGATATGATTAGGATATATACAATATAATACAATAGCAGAGTTGGAAGGGACCTTGGAGGTCTTCTAGTCCAACCCCTGCCTAGGCAGGAAACCCTATACCGTTTCAGACAAATGGCTATCCAATATCTTCTTAAAGACTTCCAGTGTTGGGGCATTCACAATTTCTGGAGGCAACTTCTGTTCCACTGATAGAGAGCATCATATTAATTCTCCTTGGTTCTATCTCCAAAACCAACTTCCTCAATATCTCAAGGGTTGCCCCAAAGAAGAGGGAGTCAAGCTATCCTCCAAAGCACCCAAGGGCAGGACAAGAAGCAATGG